AAATAATTTTTTGATAATCTGGATAGTAAAAAATATTTATTAAGTTTGCGTGACACGTGACTTTAGGGCTGTCAATGGATTGGATTTTAATCCGAATTCGATCCGAATCCGATCCGAATTTTAGACCGTTTAACTAATTAAAATATCCAATGGATTAAATCCGATTATAAATATCCATAATTCGAAATAAGTGGACCGGATATGTAATTAAGCAATCCGATCCGTTAAAAATCCAAATTCAAATATTTTAATAATAATTTTTATTTAATTAATAATTATATATATATTTTAATAAATACCTTTATATGTAATGTAATATATACGATATTATAATTAATAATACATTAATTTGTATTTGTGAAATATTTTATTTAATAGAATAATATATATTTTTTCTAAACTATTTTATAATATTACTTTACTTTTCCTAATTTTAATTTTTCTAGTAAGTATTATATTTAATAATTAATTACTTTTGAAATTTCATGAAATACTTGAATAAATTGATTATAAAATTTTTTAAGTTCTAAGTATAATATAATAAAACTTGATAATTTTATAAAATATTGGAATCCTATCATTACTTTTATAATATATTATATAACAAAAGTTTTTCTTAATCATTTATAAATAACAATTTTTTTTAAATTTTATTTATATTTTAATAAAAGAAAAATAATTAAATATAAATCTTAAATGAATTTTTATCATTTATAAATAATAATTTATTTAATTTTATATCTTTTATTTATTGGTTATTTGATTTTAATTATTATTAATAGTTATTCCGATCGGATTTTTTATTCGGATTTCGGATTTTTATCGGATTCAGATTCAGTAATAATAAGTAGAAATCCTATAGAATTTTGAATCGGATTCATATATATACATTGATAATCGGATTCAGATTCGGATCAGCCTAATTTGATCCGAATCCGACCCGTTTACATACCTACATAACTTAATATGTTGATTTAATGTTTTATTATATCATTTAATTAAAAATATATATTAATACATACCCCAAAATTATATCATATTATTTTATTATTTCATATCATAATTTTTATGATCGTGATAATGTAAAACTTTATTATATTATAATAAATGATAATACATTTTATTTCAAATTATTTAAATTAATCTTACACTAATGCCAAAAAAATGGGAGTCATTTCAAGGTTGGGTTAAAATTCATGTGTTTGATCCTAAATTTATATGTCTCAAAGGGAGGAAGGGAAAATTGTAAGGGGCTTGATTGCTCTAAATTGTAGTTGGTGGAGCAAATTTAGAAGCTGCGGATGGATTCCGTACTACTCTAGAATTTTACCCCGGAAAAGTTTCCATCTGACTTAGAAAGTGGCCACGTGAGCACCAAAAAAGGTTGGGAGAATCCAGCGACTGGTAGTTGCCGATCATGATCAATTGTTTGGTTAAGGAGACGTTGCCGGTCACGCTCATATCTTGTGAAAGCTAACTTCGTTCAAAACCAAACCTAATTTTAGCTGATCTGTTCATAAAAGCTTTGAATGGTTAGTTGCTCACAACCCCGAATTCTTCACTTTCCAAACTCCAAATCTCATGCCCAATTGGGTTATGCAAATAAGGTTAATGTCTTTCTCTTTTTCACGGTAAAATTTCAATTTTACTGTAAAAGAGATGAATGTTGACACTAAGAATAATATCAAATAAATTATAATGTATGTAATTTTGTTTAATTTTTTTGTTTTAAAATTAATTTAGTCTAGTTAACCTCAAGTTGAAAAATTTAGCTTTAGTTTGTGGATGAATGATTATTTGGGAATTGATTTGATCTCATCTATGAATATTAAAAGATTTAATTTTATAATCCAATATTTCTCTTATTTAATTAATTATGACATATTATTTTTTAAAAAAATATAATTTGCTTAAGGTAACTTATAAGGACTTATTTGAAAATGATTTTAAACCACCGTATGTGGGTGGGGCCGTGTTTACCACAACGCTTTTTATTTGAATTTTTTAAGTCCTTGACTTACATCCAAGGGGTCTAGCTAAGTGCTGCGGAAAGCAAAAGATTAGTCATAATTAAACAAGTAAAAAAATAAAGAAAATTAAAGTTTCTTGAAATGTTATAAAAATTAAAATAATTTTAAAATTTATAATTTAGTTTTATCGTCTTATATAATCAAATAGGAACACATACTTTATCTCAACCCTCTTTTTCCAAATTTATTTTATTAAAACTTATTTTTTAAAATTTATTTCATTTAAATTCAAAGTTTCAAGGATATTAAAAATTTTCATGTTAGGAAATCAAATTTCAAATTTTTTAACCAGTTTGGTTAAATTTGATTTTCCTAAATCACTCTGAATTGGCTTGATTTCATAATTTTTCGCAAAATAAATTAAATCAAATCACGTGTGTATTAATATTTCTACGTAAATTTAATTATTTTAGCTAGAGAGCACGTGGATTGCACATGTAGAACAACCTTTTTAACCAATTGATTGTTTTTGCGTGACCTTTCAAACCAATTATAATTTTATGACAATATAAAAAGAACTTATAGAGAGTTAGTTTATGAATATTTATACAGCTTTTTGACAGAGAAATTAGTTTTTGAAGTTATTAATTAAAATAATTCTATAAATAATATAAAAATAATATAATCCTTGAAATAATGCTGTTATTAGAAGTGATATAAATTAGGAAAATTAGCAATAGGATCAACTTTGTTAAGATATTGACATGAAAGGTCAAAATAAAATAAAATATATATATTAACTCCAAATATTTGAAACTAAGTTTTTACCATATTAAATAATTTAATTTCCTAAATGCCCTTTCACTCACAAGTTGTAATGCCCCAAGGGGATTAAGTAGAAAATTTAGGAAAATCAAATGACCTAATTGAAAAAAATAGGAAGTTAGGATCCTAATTAAGGATAATAGAGACTTAATTGAATAAACTCAAACTCTTCAGGGCCAAAAAGCAATAAGTAGAGATTGAATCACGAGGAATAAGAAAACTAGGGATTGAATCACAAAATCTCAAAATTGGGGTCCCGTTCATCACCCCATTTCCATTCCTGTAACCCTAAGCATGTAAGTGGATCCAATTAAGAGATTTCATGGACTAATTCTCAAATAATCATATATATATATATATATATATATATACATAGGAACAAGCTTCTCAAAGGAAAACCCTTAACTAATTCTGTCTTTCATCTCCTCTAGCCTATGATTCTGATTCTTGACTAACAGAAACTTCAGGTTTTAGCGATTTGTTTCAACTGGATCATCTTGAGCATTAAGTGCAGATTTCACGACCATTATGGAAATAGAAGTGGACAAACCAAGGGCACAACCTTGATCATGGACAACAACCTAGGATCGAGCTTAATCAATGCAAGAATGGTGGTTCTCTCATAGTTGGGCAATTGAGTTTTAGGAACGAGACCTGAACTAATTTCAAGCTAGGCACAAGGTCTGGTTCTCTCAACTAGACCCAAGATAGAAATGGGTTGGGCCAAATGACTTTGCCCAAAAAGGTCTAAATGGGTTTGGGTTGGATTAAACTTGGGCCAAAGGGTTTTCTGGGCTTACAGATGGGCCAGGCCTAGAATTGGGCTAGAACTAAGTTGGGTTACTGGGTTTTGGGCTGTAGTAAGGTCTGGATCCAAGATCCGAATTTAATAAACCAATAGACTAGGGTTTAACATCAATTCAGAGCCTAAATTGGTCAGTTTAAGGTTTTAAACTAAGTCAACCCAATCAAATCTTTTGTTGGGCTGAGTTAAACCCGTGAGTTAACCCAGCCCGGCCTAGCCCGTGGGCTGACCCACTGGTCGCAACCCAGCCTGGCACAGGACCCAGATTGTTCCGAGTCCTTCCTCCTTCGCCCGTTGACCCGGCAATCAAATTCGGTTGCAACCCGACACCTGCAACCGAAAAATCACAAAGAAAAAATAGAAGAAAAACAAATAAAACCCAACTTACCTCGACCGATCCAAACCAAGGCTTGTAGAACTCACTCCAGCAAACCATACTAGATCGTTTAATCGGATTAATCTACTTTAAACAACTCAAAATCCCGAAAAACCAGCTCGGTCACGGATGGACCAACCAAACCAGAGAAGCCCAAATTCTCTCTCTTCTCTATCTAAAACTCGAAATTGATGGAGGAGTTTGGTGCGTTTATGCTCGACGCACCCCAAAAACACGCAATCACGCAAAGATTCAACACCAATTGAGCACGGTATGGGATCTACAATCCGATTTACTATTCATGATAGAATTTTTATCTAATTGCAATTTAGTCTCTCAAATTTGGTTCCTCACAAATAAGTCCCTGGAAAATTTTCAATTTGACCCCAAATCCCTGAATTCTTACGATTACGCCCCTAGGTCTTAATTAAATCAAAAATCTGGGTTATTACACACCACCACTACCTTACTACTGTCTACCATTATCACCACTTCCCCACACCATCACCACCATTACTTGCCACCACCTCCAAATGTTGCAACCCACCACCTATCACTTGCTGCTTGCCACTCACCACCATCACCGTCACCTATCACCACCACTCACCACCTGTCATCGTTGTTGCTTGTCATTTACTTTTATTGACCACTATTATTTATAATTGTAAAGAAATAAAAAGATAATTTAATTTTTTATTATATTTATTAAATATAATATAATAATTTAAAAGTATTAGACAATGAGAACATTTTACCCACGTATTACCATCCTATCTTTTCCAATCCCGTCCAGCAAGGGTCCAGGCTTCGTTCTGCTGAACTGACTTAAACCCCTTCCACGCCCACACGCACACCGACACACACGCACGCAAACACTAGCACGCGCTTGCATATTTGTTTTTTGGATTTAAAGCACTGCCAACGGCTTCGCAAATCCGGGACTCTCTCCTTCCCTCCACCACACCCCCCCCCCCCCCCCTCCCCTCCCTCCCTCTATCACACGCACACACAAAATCAAGAGGAGATGTTGGATTTGTTCATGGGAATGGCCTTCTCTGCTTTGCCTCTGACTCTGTATATCCCTCCGGTGAGAAGCTTGACTCTGTTTACGGCGACCATGGAGAAGATGCTTAGGGACCATGGAGGATTTTACAGCGGACAATTCTACCCTCGCCTCCGGTTTGCTTGTTCAAGACTCCTAAATTGCATACTCTGTAACTCCAGATAGATATATATAAACACATGTACTCACATATAGACTAAACCTCTGTTTTGTTTTTCTTTTTTTCTTTTTATTTTTTTTCGTTTTATTCCAATTGAGCCTGAAAATCTTCTGATCCCTGTGCATAGTCATGGGTTTTTCTCGATTTTATTTTGGTTTTTTCGTTTTAGTTGTGATTGAGGGTTGAATCTAGTTCAGTTCTTGTTGATCAAGATGAGATAACTGATGTTGTTTGGAATCATGTCCTTAATCGTAAGTGCAAATGAAGGTTTAGACAATTTTTCAGATCTGTGTTTGTTAGAGTTCGTGACATTTTCTCCCTTATTGGAAGAATTCTCTATCTATTTATATAGATAGATGTATAGATACATACACAGAGTCAATCCATATACGCATGAACATCTTCCTTACCGATGGTGAAGAAAGAAATACACACGAACCCGTAGTTCTAGTTTCAATCCAAGTCCTGTGAAGCTTCCAATTCTTGTGAATGTTAATTGGGTTTTCCATTTTAGTTGAATCTGCTCACGGTTTCTGTAGTTCCTGTTGATAATGATGATTTTGGTGATATTGTTGGGGAATTACATCCACAAGTATTAATGCAAACGCAAGTCGAGATAGATTTTAGATCTTGCCCATCTGGGTTTGTTTTGCTCAATCTCCTCCACCCCCCCCCCCCCCCCCCAAAAAACAAAAAAAATAATAAAAAACTGTCTATTTTCCAAAATTAAGACCTGGGGAAAACGTCAGATTGACGAATTTGTGGTTTTCCTCTCTTTGTTAAGGTACTTCGGGTCTAGAAGGCTTTTTCTATAATCGCTTCTATTTTTAAAGCTTTACGTTTTTTTTTCTTCCTTTTGATCTTATCCAAATGGGGATCACCATGCTAAAATTTTACTTCTTGGAAATAACATTTCAATTTAATGCAAATATTATTTTATTTTTTCTTTTTCTTAAAAAATTTTCGTTACTGCATTTATTTAGCTCAATTTCGGAAAGCTTACAAACTAGTTTTATATATATATATATATATATATATTGTTTTAATACGAAAAAGTCCTGTCTCAAACTTATTCCACTAATTTGATTTTACGTCACTCTTGAAAGCATGTTACTTTTGCTACAAATTAAAAAAAAAAAAAAGAACCAGTTTAAAATGAAAAGACAAGATTACCTTTAAATCGCTTCCCTGCTTTCCCCATTCAAATGGATTTGGTTCGGGTGAGATATTAAAATATTCATATCTATATTTAAATAAAAATTTAATATTCATATTCATATCTAAATGGATAAGAGTTATTTACCCATATCCATATCTATTTAAATATTATTTACCCATATTCACATCCATATCCATTTAAATATCATTTACCCATACCTAAATCCATATTTATTTTAATACCAACTACCCATATCCATATCTATTTAGTAAATAATTTGGTATGTAACATAATCATAAAAATTAAAGAGATTTCAAAAGAATTGTAATTTTTTTAAAATTTTAAAAGTTAAGAAAAGATAATTTTTTTAAAAGTTAATGTTATTTAGAGAAAAAAAATTTTTAAAAATACATTTAAAAATTTAAAAATTATCAAATATTTAATTTTAAAGTGTTAAGAAGTACTGTTAAAAATATTATCTATTTTATTAGATATAAAACTATAATCCCTATCACACATATATTAAAATGTTAAGAAGTACTGTTAAAACATTTTAGATGTCAAAATAATTTGATCGTTATACTGTTAGTGTGATAAACATATATAAGTTATGTTTTGTACTAGTTCAAAACTATTTTTTTATTTGTCTAAGTATTTAATAGAATAATTATTAAATTTGAATTTGTATACTTATTAAAGTTTAGTTTCACCATTGTAATTTAATTTTATTACATTTTATTTTTCAATTTAATTATTACATATTCTTATATAAATAATTAAATTCTTTCTTTTTTGTAAAATATGTTTTTATAATTTTCAAAAATATTTGAATTTCCAACATTATATATAATAAGAAAAATATCTTAAAATATAATATATAAATATGTGTACATATATTTATTTATAAATGTATATATATATAAATATATATATATGTATAAAATTTAAGTATATAATACGAGTAATTAGATATAGATATACGAGTATATAAATACAGATATATGAGTATAGGTATTCGAGTATTTAGGTATTATTACAGAAAAATCATATCCGAATCCGAACCCGAACCCAAAAAAATATAATAACCTATAACCGAACCTGACCCAAAAACTTAATTGTAATGGTCGAATCCGAATCCGAGTCGGGTAAATAGTTCAGCTAGTCACAGAACCAAAATCAATTTACATCCCCAGCGTCCACACTGCTTGGTCGGCAAACCTTCCCGCAAAACCGATTCAATGCCAATGTGGGGCTATTTTCAGTTGGCAACGGTGGCGGCGAGCGATGGCGGCGTGTGCAGTGGGCACATCAGGCGAGATCGGCGAAGAACCGGAGAAACAAGAGTAATGAAGAGCCATGGGCAAGAGCACCGGCTGTCTGGACCGCCAATTAGGACGTTGGTGAGGCTGTTGGCGAATCAAAAGAGCTCGCCGAAGCCCATTTACGGCGGCGCTGATCTGGGCTTCTCGTCGCCACCGTTTTGCTTCACCTCAGCTGCTTCCGTGTCTCTCCTCTGCTCTCCCCGACCCTCTTTCTCGCCCTTCTCCCCTCTTTTCTCTCTCCTGACAATCCCCTCTGTGCACACTTTTTCTGTTAAGGGGAAAAAAAAAACAGAGAGAGAAAGAGAAATACACAGGGAAAGTTTTAGAATTTACCTATTATTCCAGCAAATGGACCAAATAACAAAGTGTTCTACCTCGCACGCACGGAGCTACGAGCCGAGGAAGAGTGATGTGGCGACGGAGGCCAAAGAAAATCAAGGTTGCCGACATTGAAGACCTGCGAAGTTGCAATAAACGAGGTGAGATGCTTTGGCGAAGGAGGTCGAATAGATTAGGGCGTTTACAAAAGGTGTTGCCTGTTAACTTTCCAGCTTCTCAATATTAAAAATTACTTTGGGTTGTTTTTAAAATTTATTTTTGATTTTTATTTTTTAAAACTTAAGCAAATAAAATAAAAAATTTTTAAAGGTGAGCGAGTGATATTTTTAATTTTAATGATATAATAATAAATAAATAAAATTTATTATAAAATGAATTTTGACATTTATTCTCTTGCATATTTTTTTATTTTAAAACAAAACTTCCAAGACATTCCTGCCCAGGTGACCACTATCAACTATCGTCACAGCCCATTGCCAATTACCTTGAATTCGTTAGAGACAAGGTAAAGGCTCAAGCTTCTTCTCTGATCTGGGTTTAAATTCGATGACTTCGACAATTTTAGCAAACTCAAATCACAGTCCAACACGTGTTGCAAAGAGAGACGACGTTGATTGCTTCTTGAACAGTCCAGAAGTCTCCAATTCCATCCTGTGCAACAATTATTACACGGGCCCGCATCTTCCTCTTCACACTTTGATTCTATGACTCCTCAATCTCAAAATTTGTGCGTCTCTCTATCAAATTGTTGAGTAGTGTCCGCTTCTTAGCTACTCAAAGATCCAGAATTTACGCATGAGGGGGGCAAAATAATATAAAAATTAAATATATTAAAATAACAATTATATCAATGACTAAATATGTTATCTTTTAATATTATCAAATTTACGTAAAAATCGATTCACAACTTTATAAATTTATTTAAGTTAAGCACACTGTTTCTTCATATCATAAAATTTATCAATAATTGACTCAGTATTAAATTGCTCAACAATCCTTCTTTCAATATAGGTAACCAAACAATGAAAAAGAAATTCATCTTCCGTCTTGTTTCTGGGCTTATTCTTGACAATATTCATAACTGAAAATGATATTTCACTTGTAGTAATTGAAACATGAAAAGTTTATATTAAATGAAGTAAACGATCAATCAAAGGATAAGTTAAAGATTTTCTCATTCTAACCAATTCTTGGCATAACTCTGAAATTGTTGACAAATGCTTCAATTTAGAAACTTGGGGAATATCTGGCTCAAAATGCTATGCATGTATTCTAAGATAGAACCTCTCTTGTTAAATGAAATCATTTAGATAAAACTTAGTTGCTAACTAACAAATGTGATCAACACTAAGTAATTTATAATAATCTCTTGGATCTAAAGCAGTGTTAAGTTTGAGCAATATACAGTATTTTTATTAAATCTGCTATTCATCTTATGTAACTGTGTATCTATAACAACAATAAACAAATTAATACGATAATGATACTCTATTGAAACATATTCAAAACTTGGGTAACGCTGACCTTTTCTAGGAATATAAAGAGCATCCATATTAAATATGTTAATATCATGCTTCACACAAAGAATAAAACTTTCTTCAAAAAATTATCCCACTCTGATTCTCTGATTCTTTGAATCAAGCATTTGGTAGTAGACACTAAAGTCCTTGCATTTAGAATATTTTGATCATTACGTTGTAAAGCTTGAGAAAGATTATGGCTAATTTCCAAGAGGGCTCTCATAAGATGTAAAATAAAAATAAATTCAAATGATTTTAAAGCATCTAGAGCAATTTTAGCATCACCACAAAGAGAATAATTACTTTCTTGAATAGTTTTTTCCAAAACTTCATAAGTAGACTCAAACTTTTATAATAAATCTTGAATAGATTCCAAATGAGAACCCTATCTAGTGTTTCCAGCTCGCTTCAAAGTGCTAATCTGATTTAATCTACTTCCTGTGTATAACTCATCATTAGCAATTTGATTACCAATATTTATAACTTTAGTAGCCCTGAATTGGTCATGTTGTTTAGGTGAAGTAGTTATAATATTGATAACTAAACACAAGCTTCGTGAAAAATTGTGAAACTAGGCTAACATCTTTAGCTGCAACAACTAATGCTAATTGCTGAGCAAAACAATGGATATAATTAGTATAATGACACTCTTTCAAGAATAAGGT